TCAGAGTGTGGTGTCCCAGCTGAGTCCTTACCAATGTGAATGGACTGGAAAGCTTTGCCTTGTTGGTCATTCATGTGCAGGTGTAAGGTACCTCTGCAGGACACCTGTCCTTTTCACAACAGCAGGCCACGCTGAATCACGTTCTGCTTGTGACCTGCCAGTAAATGAGTTTTCTCCAAAGAATTGCTATACAGCCAGTTTACTTACCCTCCTGTGTCTCCGCATTTAGTTTTCTTCTCTCAATTGTAATACCTTGTACTTCCCTGGTTGAATTGCATTCTTCTGTTTGCCTTCCAAAATGTATCATTACCACTGGGATCATGACAACTTCCAGTGTACTACCTGGCTCTCCCAGATCTTATCTACAAATGTAGAGCAAAATCCTTCTTCCATTTCCTCAGGTCAGTGAAGCTACTGAATAAACAAGACTCAGTACAAACGCTGGTGGAATCGTGTCCACTACTAATAGTAATTCCACTCCATAATTCTTTCACTCTGATTGTGAATTGTGCTTGTTGTGCTTTAAGAAGCGAAGAAGAGATCCGCTTAGTACTTGTATACATGGAGCTCTCCTCAAACTATCACCATTTGCTAATGAGAATACAAGACAGCATCAGAAGTGACACGTAAATTAGGAGCAAAAGAGTAGGCTCATAGGTGTCACTGAACCCAGGCACAGCCTCGGACACATCACCTGATCTCCATGTCTAGGTTTCCTCATCTGTAAGATTATTGCTCTGTAAAAACACCTGAGACCAAAAGATTGCAAATACTACCAGCTTAAGAGCCAACCCTATTATATGCTGAAGAAGACCCTTTTATGAGGGTCACTCACAGCAATTGCACCATGCATCTTACTGAAATTTTGCATTGCATAATTACATACACATTTGTATAACTAATTGTTATACAATAATTAAATAGCTTTTGTTTCTGTAACTGTCAATGCTTTATGACAGATGAAATCTGAAGTCTTTTGGGGGTTTATGGTCTCTCAGGTGTAAACTTGGCATAACACAGAGCAATGAACATTTCGTACGTCTTGTGTCCCAAAAGCCAGAAGGTTCCTTATTCTAATGATGGCATAGACTATGATACATTTTGGTCAATATTAGCAGGTGGGCCAACTTACAGAACAATTAATAAGGACAGTACTTCTCACCCAGCAAATGCAGAGTTCAATGAACACCTAGAAAAGACTGAAAATGTTTCATGCAGCAATTCAAATCCATGAGGATCTTACCTTGAAAATAGGGAGCTGTAGAAAAGTTGGTGCACAAAGCACAAAGCTCAAATCAAGTGATCCTTCTAAATAAGCCTGACATGCTTTTATTACAAGAAAACTGAATTAAGCATAAAGCACAGGTAAGAGCTTTATCTGACATTTGGGATTTTAAAGGACTGAGAAATAGGAAGACATTTACAGAAAGAATACCATGTAAGGTCATCACCAATAAGAATTCGGTTTTACTCAAGCTATTGACAATAATTGAATTTCAGTTTCCTGCCTCAGCCTAGAGTTGTCAATTAATGGAGCCTTGCTTGCATGTGAATATTGCCTCAGGCCTCTGAAAGAATAAGTTGGTAACAACTTTTTATTTTTTTCTGAAGAGTGAAACAGCATCCCTCCACCTCAATTTAAGTAATGATCACCTATGCAGGTTTTATTGTATTAAAGCCCCACACCAATTGATTCACATTTGCCAGATGCTGTCAGAATGGCTGTTAGGTGCTCATTGCACTCAGGGTCAGCTTGAAATCTCCATGAGAAGGGACAGTTTGCAGCATCAGAGCTGTCCCAGAGTCCAGAACAACCTCCCCACCTCCCTGTAAGGCAAGAGGAACTTTACAAGAGGAAGCCACATACAAGAGCCTTGTGGGGAGGGGTAAACAGAGAAGTAAAACGTCACCTCTGTTTCACAACAGAAGTCAGGATGTCAGGAGTCAGGATGTCTCCTCAATCTGTTTTTTTAAATGCTTCTGCTCCAGTACAGAAACTGGTAGAGACACGTCCACGATGAAAGCTTTTGATGGTTTAATTTCAGAAACTACCTGGAATGGGCCAAAGCTATTGAATGAATTATCTTCACAGGTTATTTAACAACAACAAAAAAGAACCCAAAATCCACACTTCTTAAATGTCATATTAGCAAACAGTTTAATTTATTAAAATGACTCCAGTACACCTCTGTGCTTCTACAACAGACACAGCATTACACGTAACAGGTAAAATGTGGTAAAATTCTGGAGGAAGCAGTATCAGGCTCATCAGCACAGAAACACGAGAGTAACAGTATCTTACATCACCTCCCAGCTCAACCTCCTTCTCCATGGTGATTCTGATACTGCTCTGTGGAGCAGGCAGTCAGTTGAAAGCGTGTCTATAGGCTTCCTAAGCAAAGACAGGTGAGTAAAGCCCTATACTGTTAAAGGGAAGGCAGGTTTGCCTCCATATCAGTGGGAGGAGAAAGTAAATCTATTAATAAGTTTATGATTCCCGGGGGCCTGGGTAGCTGCAGCAGCAAGGGAAGTGGAATTGTATATTTTCATCACTCTAAAAATGTGAGATCTATAGGATGCATATGGAAGATTAAGTTTCCCATATCATGAAAGATCCTGGCCCAAAGAGACTTACACACCTGAGTAATATGCTCATAAGAATGACGAGACTCATATACGTCTCCGTAAAAGAAGAGTCTTAAAATACATTTCTGTTAATTCAGGGCCAGTCCTTTCTTCTTTACTCGTTAGCTTTAGTGAAATTAACTCAACCCAGCATTCTACCAGCAAAGAAAACATGAGAGGGTAACCAAATCAGAAGACACTGAAGGTGTAAATACAGTGCAAAAGTGTTTGGTTTAGTTTTTGACCATTACAGCCTGATAATTTTATATTCTGTGCTTTATTTTGAGGGAAAAGCATAGTTGTTGTGTGTTATAATATACACGCTTGCATATATATGCATACATACACGTTTGCTGCAGAATGCAAAGGCTTCCAGTGCAGTATGATGTGCAGTACCGATTTCTCACATGCAGGTTTATTCATACAAAGCCAAAACATTTTTAGAGGTGCCCCTTCCCTTTGCATACTAAGTGCATTCATTAATGTGTATTCACATGCATTATTACCCTCCCCACTCATTGATTTATATTAACCAGATTTAATTTTTTAGTTATTTATTTTTTAATGCAAGCCATAAATATTCCTAGGCACAACACCTAGCCAGAACTTTCCAGTGACCACTATACTCCTGGGTTTTATGGTAACCAATACATCAGTTGGCAGAACACTCTTAATAAAATGACTCAAGTTTTGTTTGCTTCATATTGCTTCATTTTAAAAAATATTTTTCATGTACAATCTTTGCTATTAGTACACTTCAGATTTACTGAAATGCAGTAAACTATGTGAGCTTGTTATTCAGAAGCACCCAGACTTTTTTGACATTAAATGGAAGCCATCGGCAACAACTGTTGTTTGGAGAATTCATCAGGTTAACGAACAGTGCATATTAGCTAGTATGAGATGAAACTGTTTTCTTAATAGCTAGCAGACTTCACAAAACAAATTATGTGTGATGTAGTCACTACTCTGCTGAGACAGCAGAAGGACATGAGAACAAAAGCAACTCTAGGGTCAGTTTCTATCCGTGTTAATGTAGCTTTGGTTCAGAGTTCTTGAAGTGTTGTAGAGCACCTGGTTTAGTGACAAAACTCATGCGTCTCACAGTGGTAACAGTATAATGCTGATAGACTATAAACTGCAAGTTTCCCAATATTAATAGCATTTAATTAAAAAATTTACAGAAATATCCTTGTTGAGAAATGTGCGTACAAATGCAAGCTCCTTGGCTGCAAACTCAAACTGTGTGCATCACTTTTGTGCTGGCGTAACAGTGCAAGTGCTGAGATTCAAGTATGCTTTTCCATAGATATATTTGTTAAGATACAGAGATTACATGATGAAGTTTGGAGGATTTTCTGCTCTCAAGGCCAGGACATGAGAATCAAGCACAACACTGCAGTAATTGAAATGTTTGATTTCCCTCACACAGAAGGCAATCTAGAGGAGGAAAACACATTTCACAAGCAAAGTAGCTTCACATACCACCAGGTTATTGCTTCAGCTAGATCAGCTATACTAAAATACAGGACTGCAGCTTGCAATCTGATCTCCACTCACATGAAGAGAAGACAAAATCTACAGTGCAAGTCCTCCATGCCAAAAGATCAAATTGCAAGACCAGAGTCCTGTTCCATAGGGCAGAATTTATTAATCATTCAGTTTTGTCTGTCTTTTTTTTTTTTTTTTTTTTCTTATAACTCAGTGAGATTGGGGTCAAAAGTACATTGTTTATGGTATTTCTGTGTTTCCGGTGGTTACTACTTCATGACAATTTATCAACAACAGAAAACAGTACAGAACACTTGCTTCCAAAGAACTGCAGAAGTTATTGCTGAGATTTTTTGAAATTTTTAGGGCCAAAATTGAAAATTATTATTTCAACCAAATCAACTCTTTACTGAATTTAAAAAAAAAAAAAAAAAAAAAATCTGACATCTTATTAATTAAAAAAAAAACAAAAACAACCAAAAACAAACAGCAAAGTAAATAGCTTTTTTCAATTAAATAATAACCTAAGATTTTACAAGATATTCACATTCAGGCAACTGTCTCCTGACTTTCATCTGGCTGAATGACAGATGACATAATAAAACCAAGAATGCTACACTCACATTCTTCACGACAGCAGTGATCAGTGCAATTTACCACTGCACTACACAGCTCCAATAGTGCAAGATGTGCCTGCTGATGCTTCTCACAATTGTCTGCTACAGGATCATTACTCTCAGACGCCTGTAACTGTTAGAATTTTGGCATTTATGTTAACGTTTATGAAAAACTATGGCTTTATCCATGAAACACATATCCTGCCTAAGCAAAATTTTTAAACCATTTAAAGCAATAAAACTGAATTGGAATGAAAGTTATTTGATTATGCCATAAGCTGTGTTGCCACTAAACTCAAGATCTCAGGGCTAGCTACAGATCACCAACATGTGTATTTGTGCATCTGTTACAGTCTTTAAAAATGTATTTAAAACGTAACACTGATAAAACTTCATTCTTAATTTTAAATCTAATTCTAGTAATTTATCATTATTTTTGCAACATGTTTAATTACTTGTATCCAAAGTGTCATCTGAGTATCGCTGTATTACAACAGGACGGGGACTGTAAGAAACCCATGAATGCATACGTAAGAAGGCACTTGTCTTCCAGTAGTAGTTCAAGTCAGAGAAGGCCTTACCCAGACAGTGGCACCTTACAGTTTGAAAGGTTAGCAAATGTCCCCAGGCTTTGACACACAGCCTCAAAACCTGTCTTTTGTCCCTGGACAAAGGTGCTGTATGGGGTCTATAACACCATGAAGCTCATGACGAATTCCAGCAGTTTTTGCCTGTTGCGCTGAGGTAGGAACGTGGTGCTTAGTTCCAAAATGGTGTCTTTCCTTTGTTTTGTCTGATTGAAAACCTAAAGCATAACATGGACATGGGTAAGTATCACCATGATAAAGGTATCTCCTTTCCTGACTATAATTTTACGGTCTACACTATATTTGTCCTCATTTACAAGACTTCTTTTATATTCCTTTCTTGAAGGTTTAGGTGACAATGCCTTTATTATTAGATATTATTAGAATTCACTCAGTGTTGAAGCCCTTCAACAAGGTGAAGCCTTTCACCTATGAAAGGGCAACAAGAAGATGAGAAACTGAGAAATAAGTACACTAAACAGACAACTCTAACAGGAAGGAATAAAACACACTCAGAAGGCATCTCAGCCGAAAGTGTAAGCACTTTGAAAACAAGAATTCAGATGCTATGCTCTCAATAGATGCTTAGCAGGCGTTATCTAAATCCAACAGCAAAATAAACTCAATTAAAATTATGTATTTGCTATGTGCTTTCTTCACAGCTCTTACAGGAAGGTACCTTTATTACAGGTTTTACTGTGGCCTAACTACTGTTAGCTTACTTAACACAGTGTAGTTTAAAGACAAAGACTTCAAAACCCTTATCTAGCAATACTTTGCCTAAATACCGATGCTTTCAAAATTCTAATGCTAAATCCCATCTGGCCTTCAGGAAGCCATGCTATTCTGATGAAAGAAAAACTCTTCATTTGCAAAATCTGTGATTTAAATAGGTGATTTAAAATTAAAACCACTAGTGGTAAAATGCAAAAATTATTCTTTACTTTAAAGAACGCCTGTATCCTCATGGTGGACACTGGATGTCTATTAGGATGGTTCTCCTGGAGCACCAATCACTGCTAAGCCAAAATACAGTAACTAATAATTTTTGAAGATTTCAGTAGTCCTTCAAAATTAAATTTTGCTGTTACTAAGTCCAATCTGTGCTCTTGGCTTTCCAGCACTGCCACTGATGTCCAATAAGGACACGGAGTAGAGCAGACAAACTTCATCTGCTGTGAATATAAATGTCTAGTCACCTAGCCCTCATCTAGACAGTTATTCTCAGGGGGAAGAAGTGCCCTGTTCTGCCATGTGAGCTCTTCTTCTACAGCCCTGAGCCTTAATGAAAGCAAAATGCTCAGACCTCACTACACATTCGCACAGCTACATTCATGGACTTCAAACTGATGCTAAACAGGTTCCATGAACTGTCAAAATTGTGCTCATTATTAAATGAAGCTTAACGTTCTCCAGCATTGATCATTGAACACTTACCCCAATTTCTTTAAAGACTTTCACTGCATTTTTCACATGACTGTAGGTAGCACTCTCAGCTACAAGAAAGAAAGAAAAAAAAAAAAACAAACAGAGATAAACAAGCGGCAATTGAATTTGGGTTACCTTGTGCTAGAAGGAACAGAATGAACCCAATCCAGTTCCAAAACCAGGCTAACATACCATATACAGCAACATTCTTCTCAGTCCTGCTGATTAAGTGCCTGTGTAACTTCTGAAGGTATTCCGACTCTGAAACAGGACCACTGAAATTGTGCACAAAGGTGACAGCAGAGCTATATGCCTCCAGCAAAGGTCCCAATAACCTCTGCAGGAAAGTGATGTACTGTTGGTGCTCCTGAGACTGGCTCACCTACAAAAGGGCAACAAGAGCTTAAGTGACAGAGACCCATGGAAACAAAAAGTGATCTGTAACAGAGTGCATGGCAAAACAGCAGCCCAGATAATTCTTAGTCCAAAAAAGAGTGCAGAGGCACAACACAGTGCATTATGAAAGCATAGCAAATAAGCAGTTTACCACGAGGGACAAAACAGGCACTGCACGTAAGAAATCAATGCCACTTTATTAATAACTGTTTTCCTAAGATAAAATTAAAGGCATTACACTGTTCTGTGGACAGCAGAAGGGCTGCCATACATTCACAGAGATGGATGTAACTTTCTAACTGTTAACAAGATGTCCTAAAGATGTTTGTGCCACCTCTCTGAGAAAGCTTCTAATATGTCTAAAATCAATCTAAAGGTCAAATTTAGGCTGAATATAAATACCACCCAAATGTGCCCCTTTTAGAGTCCATGCTGTTAGTAAAGTACAAAATATTTAGACACTAAGATACTAGAGCCTTTATCCTTTTTCTTGACACTAACAACTGCCCTTCCACTTCCCTATAAAATTATTTGATGTTTCTTCAACTCTTTTTCTCATGAGGAGAGAAAGGTGTTTTACTGACTGTAGCAAAACCAAGTCTAACACTGTGAACCAGCAAAAAAATATACTATCATTAGCCCTCCCCAACTAGTAAAGTAGTTTGTATCTCTTACAACACACTTCAATGCTAGTAGCCTTAGGATAATATTACCTTCAGGTAGCAATCTCTCTGCTCTTCCCCAAAATCACTGTCTTCATCTTCTTCATCACTTCTCCAAGATAATGGCTCAGGGAGCTTTTTATCCCATTGCTGTTCTGTAAGACTAGGACTAACATCCTCCTGATCATCCTGCTTAAATTTGAAAGACAAGGTAGTAAATAACTAAAAAAACCAAATACAGGCAAGCAATAGGTTTATTTTATAATCTCATCTGACTTAATCAGTCCTTTAACCAATACTTAATGAAAGCACAAGACAATTATAGACAAAGTTGGGACAAGCAAAGAGGAGAGAAATTTGGTGAAAGAATTTTTCTTTTTTAAAAAAAGCATCAATAAAGCTCAGTTTAATGGGAAATTTATCCATGTGTCAATGCCAGCAGTAAACTGAAATAATTAGAAGCAGCAGAAGCTAGCTACCTTTCTTAGAAAGCAGGTTGTAAAAAACACTTCCAACCTGTCTGAAGTCACGAAACAACCTCTGCTTACAGTGTCCAATAATTATGTAAGTTCCTAATATTTCAAAAGTAGTGAGCAGGTAAAGAGATTTTTTAAGTTTAAGAAAATTACTAACAGAATATGTCTCCTTTTTAGGCATTCAAATGTTGCACTGGTTTGGACATCAGACACGACAGACAAATATTTATATACTGCCTAACAGCTATCTATATCTTAACCTATTAACAGCAATGTACCAGACTCGGCAACCAAAATGCACAGAAGGATGCTCCAGACAGGTTTCATGCCTGAGTAGACAAGAGGTGCATATGTACTGCTGTCCACACCTATTCTCCTCGTGTTGCCAGCCACGGAACATACAGGTTTTCTTCCTAATCCTCTGATTTAACTTTTATTTTTGGATTTATCTAACAATGATTACAATCTATTAAATGACGACGTGTCGGCAGTTCAGATAAAAAGCAAGCAGTAGTAACTTTAAAGAAGAATGTTTAATATCCTGGTGAATCAAGTAAGTAGTACCTAAGGTCACATATATTAAAACTGGAAACAGGTATCAAAAGGTATGCAGTAAGATTAGAGTGAAGCAGTGGCCATTCACAAATACACCAGAAGTAGCTCCAGCATCCTCTGAAACTGGAGAGCTGCAAGAAGAAAGCAGCCAAATATGTAACTCCTTTTCCATGTTTTCTTTAAATTTTGTTGCTTCCTCCTGGGTGCCAAGGCTTGTTTACTGTGCACAAAAAAAAAGTCTGGGAAGCAAAAGTATGCTGAGTCAGCTCTCCCTATTCCCCAGGTTTTCTTCACACTGAACCCCTCTGGCAGACTGCACCACTCAGTGGCCCCAGAACTTCCCTGGAGTGGCAAACTGTGCTAGCAGAGGAAGTTGACAATAATTCAGAGATCAACACAAAGGAATCAAAAAATGGCAAAAGAGCTGGACTACTGACTCTTGCAGAGTAAAAGGCAATAGCTGTTGTAGCTGTGCCACAATTTGAATGGGCCTCAGTAATAAATCCATGTTTTTACAAGATGTAACAGGATAGAAGATATGCCTTCTGTAGCTGGTTTAATGGCACAATGAAATTGCACAGAGTCGTTCACAGCATCACTGGATGGCTATACACAGATGTCTGATGCTTACAAATGTAGGAATGAAGTAGTATGAGTCCTGGACTTGTTGTTACAAGCTTTCAGTAATAGCATATATGTAGAACAAGACTGACAACTAAGAAATATATACTCCCTGTAGTTAAAGTCAAGTACACTAACCAAAGCTCTTTCAGTATCTCTGTCACCTTACCTCGGCCACCAGAAGAATGCCATATTGTATCAGCCTTTCCACAGATTCATGGCAAACTTGATATATCACCTGGCAAGGCTGCACAACATAAAAAAAATGCACTGAGAAAATCACACTCATTACACCCTTTACAGTAACACCACTTCCCTATTCAGTATGAATGTTTTAGATACAGCAATTATTCCTTTTAAGCAAGTTATTAAACTTTTACCAGAATAATCCCAACACACCACTTATGTTTACCCTGGTAGACATTAAAATTACAGTGAAATAGGATATTGAGAATTTGTCCAATTGTTTTGAAGAAATGCATTGCTACACTGGTAGAAAACCCTATTAAATATTCTCTCCTTTTAATCGCCTCTAACCAAATTCTAGTTCGTTAACAATTCTGGAATAAAATCATCATAAAGCTAAAATCATTGAGAATCATGACTATGATTTATTTCAAAATTAAAGTACACATTGAATTAAAAAAAAAAAAAAAAACCTGCAAAATCAATTATTAACTCTGAAAACAGAAGGATAAAATTACTAAAGAATCCCATCATGTGAGCTACATCACTGCCCAGACAAAAACGCTCAACTTCACTTATGTTTCATTTAAAAAGGTACAAATGAGAAATATGTGTATAAATTCAAGAACTAGCTCAAGAATCTCTAGAATTCTATGTAACTTTCTACACGTAAGAGAAAAAAAAATCTAGCACTTAAAACTGCAAGTATAGAGCTACTTACAGGGTATTCTTACAAGTACACAGTGTCTGAAAACTGAGATAACATCAGCTCTCTTCAGTGTTTTGTAACAAAACAAAGTCAGGCCATGTTTAAAATTGCCACTAAGTACTAGGTGTGGCACACTGTAACTACTGCACTCCTATGCAAATTAAGAGTATCTTTAGAATCTGGAGCTGTAGTTCCCAGCATAATTCCAATCACCTACACAAGCTCACAGGAGTTGGATACTCTCAAAGATTTGTATTTGCTTATGTAAAAAATATATTTAGATAGTTTGGGCAGAACACAGCTATAGTTGTGATGGTCTAATGACGTCAGTGACACAACATCTCTTAGAAGGCATTAAGAAGCCCAGACTCAAGTTGTGGGAAGCTGATAGAGATGGAGTTAGCAGCTTTTCTTTCTTAGGAAAGACCTAAGGCCAGGCCAGCAGAAATGCTGCAGGCTCAGCCCAGCATCCCTCACTTCAGCACCTGTATGAGCAGCAGGCATGCACTCAGTACCTCCCCCTCCCTGAAAGCCATCAAGAGTTTTTGTCACACCTTGCCAAGGAAACAAGGTAGCAACAGGAGTTTGGCAAGTTAATTCATGTGCTATCTCAGGGCAGACATCTTTTGGCTCATGTGTTCTGGTAGAACTACCTTTGTTCAAATATTCACATGTTTCCTTAAAGCAAAGGAGACCAACGCTATCTTCCTTTTTAAAATTATATTTAACCTCTTGATACCCATAACCATCAGGCTGCACTTACAGTGAACATAATGGAACTGTGACACAGTTACAGGCAACAAAAATTTGAAATTTAGACAAATAATGCAATTACTTACCAAAGATACAGTAAATTCATTAGAAAGCAAGTAACACAAGCTGGCAGCTTTTCGGACAAGGTGCTCTTGACTAATCAGACTGGGAGAAACACCATTGGTACCACTTCTGTACCTTCTGCTCTGAATTGCATGAAGACTGCAGGCTAGAGCAGAAACAAGCATAAGCAAAATTTATTTTCGCAGAGTTTTGTAACAAATGAAATGTAAAACTTTTGTTTTGTCTACTTCTAGGCCGGAAAGCACTCAAACATTACACATGCAATTGAATAATAAAGCCAGAATTCACCATTATTTTTGTGTTCAATTTATAGATCAGAACAAAATCTCACTATGATACTGCTGATCAAAGTACAGGTTATGCCATGTTGGCTCTAAACTCTGATACTGCCGTGCCAGTGGCAATGACCAACACACAAATACTTCCAAGAAAGATAAAGGATGATGGAAAAAATTAGTTGAAACATTCCACGAACAAAATACAAGTTTACTTTAATATTTGTCTTGTTAGGTTGAAGCATGGAGGGAAGAAATAGATAAAAGTCAGTTACATGAAAAACTGATAAGGTTTTTTTTGTGCAGACACTTGTGACTTCACGGATTAGGAGAAAGTCCTTAGTAAATGCCAAAACATACCAATGATAGCCTCCTTAATGAATACGTGAAATACTCCATTGCTGTAGAAATTGAGTTCAAAGACAGCAGGTATTGTGGTGCTGGGAGTGATGAAGAACTCGTTGTTTCGGCTAGTGTTTGTGATAGTCACACAGTTTCCCAGCAAGTGGATGGCATGCATGACAACATCATCTGAGTTCCCTGAAAATCCCAAGTCAAAGTCCCGTGCTAAGACCTCTTCCTTCATGGAGAAGAAATCTTCTACCAATCTGGAAAGATCAGTTCCCTAGGAACAAAAACAGATTGACACAGTGAAACAATCTTTCTGCACAGAGTTTATTTGTAAACCACCAAAGTGTGTCTATAGCAAACACATAAACAATTCACTCATTGTCAATAATCCACAGCACAACAGTCTTATTAGAAAAATTAATTTTCAGAGAGATTTTGCCAAAATAGCCCACAGGTTTTTAATTACATGCAATTATAGTTTAAAGCCATGCAGCTATTTAGGAATGCAAATGTTTTGTTTGCTTCTCAGTTTATAGATCTTGGAGATCTGCAGAGACCTGTGCTGTTCTTCAAGAATATGCTAGAGATACTACATTTCCACTACCTATGCTGCAAAAGAATAACCAATTATCTGAGAATACTGTAATTAACAGAACTGTTCAATTGGTTGGCGAAATGAGGAAAAGCTTTTCCTCAAGAACTTTGAAAATTAACACAAGAGCTTCTAGCATATTCAATGGTGAATTAGTTTGAGATCTAAAGAAATCTTAATACAATGAAGCTGTGTTCTTTACAAAAAGCATAACTACCTTTTGAGTTACAAAGTTCTATTTTCACATGGGTACTTATTATCATCCCATGAATAAATAGCTTATCTTCAAGCACCCACCAACTCAAATAGTAGCACTGGGACTAGCTGAAAATCACTCCTACTTAAATGCAACTTTCTTCTTTTACTAGTATCATGCAATAGTAAAATGCATACTATTTTTTTAATTAACATGGCCAGAGGAATGTTTGGCTATCTGAGCAGCATGGAAGCCTTACCTGCCTGTGTCTGTACAGCAGCAAACAGGCAACAATGTGGGTAGACATCACAGCACAGGACTTGTTAGCAGCTACATATAAACAAGATAAACCTGTTAAAGCACCTGAGAAGTTCAGAACATCATGTCTCTATAGTAACAATATTAATCACATTAAATTACCTTGAACTAAGAAGGCTGAGTAAAGCTTAAATGTTTACTAAGCTAAGTACTGTTTTGTGTGCATCTCTTATACCACAAATCACAGAACTACTGACTAAAGCATACACCACATAACCTATATAACCTGGCAACACTGGTTCATGCAGCCACTTGAGTTCAAATGAGTATAATCTTAAATAATGTCATGAAGACTGCAATAACTTCTTACATAAGTACTAAGAAATCAGTGTATCATTATGATGCTCAAACACTTCAGAGTACAGCAAGTTCAGTACACTAGTCCAAGGAATACACAAGTTAACATAACAAACAGAATAAAAAGCTTGAACTTAATCATAAAGAGTTTATTTAACTTTGAAGGCGAGGATGGCAAAGGATGGAGAATGGTCAAGAAAGCATCTGAAGTCATGAAATGATCACCTGAATGGAGGGAACTGGGAAGCATGACATTCCTAACAGCAAGTTAGTTCATGCAATCAACAAAAGAAAAGAGGTAGCTGATGATACTGCAAGACTTACTGAACAAAATATGCTCAGCCAAGTTGGATATCAGCTCTCTTCTGAAGGGTTCACTGGTGATATCCCTGGTGTTGGGCAGTGAGGCCTCTGTACCTTCATCCACAGTGTCATTAGGTCTGAATACAGAATAAAAAATCACATTATGACATTTAGATTTTTATTCAATTTTTTTTTAATGAACTAAATGAACTATGGTGCAAAAACCCAGTACGCACTCTGGTAAGGGCACAAAAATGGTATGTGTAACAAGCTCCACAGAAATTTTAACATCTACCAGTTTTTCCAGATTATTTCTTTATAACAAAACAACAATCTGAGATAAGACTACCAAAATCAAAATTGCAGGCCTCTCCTGTGGTTATTCACAACTTCACCATTACATCATTTGCATCCCACAGTTCTTTTCCCTTCAATGAATATTGACAACAGTAGATTAAGCAAATCTGCCTAAAGGCAGTTTCCAGCCCAGCCTCTTTAAAAACTAAAAATGGCCTTTTTTATGGACTTACAACTTTCTAAAGATAAATGACTTTGTCCCTACTAGGATCACAGATGTTTGTGTAAGTCCAGCAAAAACATCAACTAAAATGTTTAGCTGTGTAACAAATGTAGATGTAGCCCCTGAACATGGATTTGTAGTTCTGAATGACAGCTACCTACTTGAGCAAGAGGTACTCGTTCCCAAGAGGCTTATTTGCTTTGGAATTATACCAAACCCCACCTGAAATTTTTGCAAGATATAAAAAAAAAAAAAATCCTTTATTTTTCATTAAGTGAGAGTCATTTTTCCCTAAGTTATTCCATAAAATTTAAAATTAAACCAACAAAGGTCAATAAAATTAAAAAGAAGTAAATAAAAGCCCCCTCAAGCTTATTTAAACAGAGCTCCCTAGGAAGAGTGCAACTCTCAAAATAAATTTCACAGTTACAGTTGTCTAAGTTTTTAATTTTTCTATGCACAATTACATTATCCCTGGGGACTTCAAGCACTTTGTGGAATGTAATGCAGAACACTAAAAAAACAAATAAACAAACAAAAAACAACCACACCAAGCCATCCTCCCTCTCCACAGCACCCAAAAAATCTCTACCTTGATGGAAGTATAGCTGGTAACAAAGCTTGTTCCAAAGAAAGAGGAGCAGGCACAGGTTTTTGGCTTTGGCTGTTTACATACTCCTGTTAAGAGAAGACTTATTATTTTTTGTACTTTTTCCACTTTATTCTTGCATTCAAGTGATAATATTATGTGAAAACAATAAGTATTCAAAAATGCAGCTGTGACTAAAAATAGCTCACACTAAAAGAGCAGAAATAAAGCCAGAGAAACAAAGTTTTCAACAGTTTGTTTGCTTTTGCTTTATGACAAGGCAGACTTTCCACAGCAAGGAATCCATACTTCATACAAAACACTGCAGCAAAACCAAGACACAGACCCTGTCAGCACACTGCTGGGAACAACTCCTTTGAGACTGGCTTCACCATGATTAAATTAATGAGAACTGCCTTCATTAACATGAGTGAGAGCAAAGTCTAATAACCATTCAGAACAAACATGGAGAGTGTAATTCTTGCGTGCTGCTGCTTTCCTCAAATGCCAGGATAGGAAACTTCCCCACAGGTAAACACTGGTGTAGAAACTCCAGTTCAAGACCCCTCACAGTGCCACAAAGTAAAGCAGCTAGGAAGCAGGCAGGGTACCCCATGCTTGGAACGCTTGAATTCCAAATTTCTGAAAAGCCAAACACCTCTCCTTACAGGTTTAGCATTTACATTATTCTGTTTTCAGGACGCTGTGTGCTTTCAGTCTATAAAGACTGATGTGGGAAACTAAAGAGCCACTTAACCTGCTGGTCAGGAAAACAGTTCCTTCCCAGGAAAGCTGCTTAAAAGACTTTCACAGCCAGCTTGCTCTCTTCTGCTTCTCAGCCTGTGCTCACAGAACTGCAGCTGCCCAAAATTAACCCCCAAAGCACATCTCCTTTAGAAATACCTGCAGTGACATAACTACACCCATTTAAAAACACTGTTACACTTCTGCAAATCTTGGTTAAGACGTACTTAAACTATTTATGCCATTTTTTACTTCTCTGGAGTACAACAATGAATACACATACAAGTGAGACCTGACAGAGGTTGCTAGGAAGGTATAGCGATCAGCATTTCACTAGATTAAGAGGGCAGATAACCTTCTTTTCCTTATACTGATCCAAGAACAACTGTTAACTCCCTACCAAGAATAACCCAAGCCTTCTCCTTTGGAGGCAAATTAATACCTTTCCCTAATATGCTAATTATAATGCAGTGCAGACGGTCACAATAACTTCATGCTGTGGTAACTGAACCCTCCAAAGTTCTCCAACCTACTGCTTTTCTGAGAAGTAGGGCAGAAAGAACAACACCTAATTAATTTGAATAATGTTCTAGGAGGTTGTTGTTACAATAATCTTATTAAAGTCACACTAAAAATAAAGTATACTGTAGCAGAACACAGATTAGTGAAATGCAGATAAACAGAGGACTAGCAGATTCTGCAAAGAGATCAAAGAAAATTTAAGAAGTGAAGGCAGATACTACTGCACTACCCCATTTTCTGAGAAACCACACAGCACTATTTGGTAAACTAGTGTAGGTAGTCATTGTAAGCTAACAACAGACGATGACTTTCAAAGAATATGCAGATTTTTATGATATATTATCCATGATACTTTAATAGCCACTAATATACTTGGCAATTTTTAAAATCCAGTGAGAATAATGCCCTTCCTCAACAGTAGTGTAAGCCATTAAATTACTTAAAAAAGGAAGAGAGTACTCGGTTTCCTTCAACTTCAAATGTCTCTACACTCTAAAGGATTACTACTACATGGTACAAGGATCATTTTAAAGATTTGTTTAAGACAAAACAAAAGAACCTCAGTGAGATTACTTACACCATTTCAAAATTGACATAACACTTTATATCAACTCTGAGACTATTCCAGCTTAACACAAATGTGTCCAAAGACTCAAACATTCTGCACAACAGGGATACTTCTGTGCTACCAGAATGGACTTCAGCAGATAATGATAGTGTGTTGACCCACAAAGAGAAAAATTAAAGTGTCCCACTATTGAAATATAAACATGCCAAACCTTCAAAAAGATCTGCAAAACATCAAACTTACTTTTAAGGAAAACGGTTGTGCAAAATCTACTCTGACACACCCGTAATTCTTCCGCAGCATTCTGAAGACTCCTCTAGCTATACTCCAAACACTTTCATTCTTCTTAGGCTTGCCCTGGAAAACAGGGGTGGTTGTTTAGGGTTTTTCTCCAAGTTACAATTAAAAGGTTATGTTTAAAAATAAAATGCATGCAACAGCAGACAAAGCAAGGCCAAATCTGTTGACACACTTTATAACTTCCAGAAAATCTAGAGAACTATTTTTTTCCATAGATACCTGCTTGAACATATTTGTTATGTCATGAATTTGCATTTAGAAGTATGTTACCTGTGCCTCAGCACTCCTTGCCAGAGAGGTTCTGTGATCCATGGCTCTTCAACACTAACACCAAGTTCATGTCACAAAGGACTACTAGGACATCATTTAACCATGCAACACATTTTCCTGCACATAAACAGAAAATCCCCCAGGCAAAACAAGTTGTTCACTTGCTCTTACCAGCTGCTCACTGTTATAGTGACCTTCAATTATGCGATCATAGGAGATTCCCACAGGTATAATTAGGACATCAGGAGTAGCATTTGAGAAGAGAGCATCCACCACTACAGATAAAAGACCTGCTCTAGCACCAGATGTCTTTCCACTTCGAGACCGTGTGCCTTCCAAGAATATTTCAAGAAACTGCTGCTGTCTCAACAATTCTTCTATGTGCTGTATACAAAATGATTGGAAAAGAGGGAAAAATAAGCATTTAATTGTACTGGCAAATTCACGTTTGAAATATATTGTCAGGAGCCATTTCCTTCCAAAAACAGTGGAAGATGATGACTTGGTATGAATACTTGTGGAAAAACCACAAGCAACAATTAATGCTTGACACGAACTCAGACCACTCTGCAAGTGAATCTGCATAAATATAAAAACAGTACAATGCCATTTGTTCCAGAAAGGCATCTCTAGCAATGGTTATCTAGCTGATTTGTATACAACTCTCCTTCTGGTTCTTCAGTACATCCCATCTTACAAGATGGTAATACAGCTATTACACTGACTGGCACAAAGGATCACAGCAAGCCACCATAAACAGGCTTCCACCCCAGCAGAAAAGAAATCAGAGAAACAAAGCTTAAGTTTAACATTAATTCAGAGATTCATTAACTCCAGTTTCTTTAATAAGGATTCCACAAGGTGAAAATCCGTTCATCCTCAAAGATGCTGGACACAGAATTCTCTCTTATTCTATACATTCAAGACTTGATACAAAAATGTATCCTTTTTTGCAGCATGAAACTTATGACAAATTCAAAGCAGTAAAAACCATCCCCAGATTGATGGACCTCACTCTCCCATTTGCCACTTGACTGAAAAGCTGCCTAGAGAAGCAAAGACAAGAGATACATACCACGTAGAGCAGAGCTCTGTAGAGGAAGTCCTTACGACCATCGGGATTCTGATCCAGCTTTCGACGAATGAAGAATCCTCCTAGCTTGCGGATCAACGTGCTGGATAATACAGAGGAGTTATACTCATTGATTTTAGCAGTTTCATAGATTATGAAACTACTGCCTGTCCAGTACAAAATTCCTAGCATTCAACAGGAATCGCAATTACTGAAATTCTCTAAGCCTAAAATTATTACACTATCTGCACATGATGGGACAGCACAAATACTACTCTAACTTCAGAAACAGGCTTCTCTACACAGCCCTGCTCTCGCTCACTCCCTTGACAGACCACTTACCCTCTGCAGTGACCCTGATCAGGAGACTCTTGTACATTGAGATGTTGGTGACCCATGTAACAGTTACCCTGAGCTGGCCCATGTCTGTGCTGTGCTGCACATACAGCATGGCCTTTGTGCCCGTGTTGTAATGCATCTACCCCTGGGCTGCAGGTTCAGCTCAGCCAGCGGAATTCAACAGCGGAGCCTGCAGACAGCTCCCATTTGGCACCAGCAATGGCACCACCTGCATAGCCATGTCCTTCTCTAATGGTGCAGCAAGAAGTTATCATAAGAACATCCTTTCTGCTTGACAGAAAAATATTGCTTTCCTGTAAACAAAATCTTATACTAGCTCAAAGGACCAGCACAGGGTAACCCTTCCTGCAGGGAGTGTCCACGCAGCGTGCTGCACGTGCATCGGACGCCTGCTGCACAACTCGGGGTTCTCAGTGTCTAAAGGGACATTAGATTTCCCATGCTAGTCTCTCTTTCTCTATACTGCTAGCCCTAATAACAGCATTGTAATTGGTACTTTGTCATGTTTGAATGTCTTTCTTACCATAATCATCACAGACCAGCATCTACTGGTGCAAAACACCCTGCAAGTCAAGTATCCCCTTGTTTCCTCATCATTTCCTCCGATATCCAGTGGCTTTTCAGAAATCAGCTATCCCTAAACTCTGACTCATTGACTAAGTACTACCTAAAAGCCCTTAGGTTCTTCAGCCACCAGAAACAGAATCTAAACGGAGACCAAGCTGGAGTACTCTCCCATAAAGTCTTATTCACTCAGTACTGCTGCCCATTAGCCAGCTCATTAAACTTCATGAAGAGGAGCTGTCCAACTACACTTTTTCACATACTCGCCTTTCCTTAGTCCCACTTCAGACTGCTGGAAGAAAGGAATATCCTTCCTTACTCTACTTAGGTTATGACAGATTTCTCAGAAGGATTTTATTATGCTCTCTCTTTGAGAGTGTAACAGGCATCAAAGAAGTTCTGCATGATGGCACCATGACACTCAGATTATCTAACACTTGGACATAAGATATATTGCACAATAGGTCACATGAAGATCCCTCCGTCTCAGTCTTTTAAAAAGAAGATGATGTTATTACCTGAAGATGGGGATGTTGAGATTGTTCCCTGCAGCAATATATGGTGCTTTGATGTTATGGCAGAAAAGAATGAATGTAAGGAGCAGGTAGTCTATGTGGGATTTGTGAACAGGCAAGAAGATAAGAGGCAAATTCATCTGTGGTGGGGAGAGAAGGAAAAAAAAGAGAGGACTGATAAGAAATGTGGAATATCACTCCTTTCCTAAAATACATCATTGAGATTGCTAGCATCATATTGTCAGAACTGATGGTATGATCCTGTTGCCATCACTCTGTTTACTTCTGCTTTTCATTCAGTTGTGACAAGAACATTTTAGTCAGCTATACTTCTTAATTTTCACAGACAGTAGTTTCTAGTTCCATACATTATAATAACAATGATTAATATTCCCAGTTTCTTCAGGCTCACAGTACTGAGACAACAATTAAACTATTAATGGGAAGTGGCTAAATCATCAGAGTCATCAAAGCACTACTTTTTATTTCTATCAGATATCAGCAAAGATCTATGAATAGTGGAGTTCTCCAACACTGGAATCAAAAGATGACAGAAAATGTTAGGAACCTTGTTCATTTCACTTATCTTATCCATCTTTCAAAGGCAAAAAGAACCAAATCCTTTGACTGTAAAGAAAATGGTGGAATTTAGGAGTTATTTTCATCAATTTCAATGAATATTAAGAGACTGGGAACAGATTACTAGGAAGAAACAGGAAAAGTTTATATCCTAAAGATTTTTATTCCAAATTAAGGTGAGAGTGAAAAATCCTAAATGGACCTACGAATTTATTACTGGCTGTCTCAGCACAAACAAAGGAATAATGCTGGATGTAGATTATCCAGGATAACCATTCAGCCTGATAGTTAAACTTGGATTCTGAAGGAAAGGTGAAACCAGAGTTCACACATTTTTTTTAGGTTACGCAACACAGACAGCATTATATTTAATTAAAATCAGTATTTCACAGATATTAAACAGTTTTATCTACAATTTGATTATCATACAGAATTAGAACTCTCCTAAAAATTGAAAGTACTGTAAACATTAATAGAAACAACATCAGAAATCTATCTTACTCGTTTCTTACCTCTGTTGCTGCTTTGACCATTTCTATTTGACCTCTGTGGATCTGAATATTCCAGAAAAAGCTGTTAAACAACTTCAGTAACACCCAGCCAGTCAACCTGAAAGAAGAACAAACACAACTCAAAAAGCTTAATTCATTTCTGCCCCCATTTTATATTGCTTTTATATGACTAAAGGCAAAGCCATAAAATCTGATTACTTTATACTCAGATAAAATTAGGATAAAATCCAATTGCTTAACAAATTTTTGCCTGTCAGCTAAGCCATGGTTAGTAACTGCATTTCAGCCCCCTGCAGTTATGACACAAAACTTGTTAGTGCCAATCTCAGTGAAGGATGTTCAAAAGGCAGAGGCCCCTTTACATATGGGGTAAGTTAATGGAGGTCCTATGATCACTTATAATAACTAAACTTAGTGATGTTAGGTGACAGTATGTATCTGGTCTTGTGGGAGAACTTGATATAGTTACATAAAATACAGTGTTTGCATCGCAGAAGTTGGTTAAGGGGACTAGGAACATAACAAGAGACAGATTCATCTTTAGCAGTAAATGCAGATACCACAGTAGAAGATTTAACATAAGATAAGGCCCTCTCTGAGATACATTTAATTACAGGTTCTGATATTCAATGGGCTACTGCAAAAACAGATCTTTCACCGTCTAAGACACTGCAACTAACTCCTCTCACCTACATCAGCTTGAAACAACAGAGTATACTAACACTAATCTAAGCACTACCACTAAACCTGGTTTCAGGAGGGGAAAAAAAAGTAGTCTGTATTTAATCTTAAGATTTACACCTTGAAAAAGTGGAGGGTTTCTGCTGCATCTCAAAATGAAGAATAACTACCATTTAATTTGTTATAGTTTGAAAAAGATTTTTTATTAATAACGTATTATTTTTAGAATAATTGGTCATTACATGTGAATAATGTGTTAGAAGTTCTGCTGGTATAATACAGAAAGCGCCTAGATTCTAGGAATGGCCAACCTCTCTCTGTATTATACCAACATTGACAAAACTGCTAAGCCATTTTTCTTACCTGATTAAAGCAGGTGACACATTTGCTACCATTTCCTGGAGAATTCTCCTAGCTTTTTTCTTTACTTTGTTGATAGCTTTAGGATCCGTTTGAGCAAAACTACCTGGAGCACTTGGTTCAGAAGCTTCATCTACAATGGCCTTCTGGACTCTAAAATTAAAAAGTAAAACTTGGGAGACAGTCCCAGAACAGAACAGCTCAAGACACAGGCAGCTGCTGTAAATGAGCTATCTATTACTGCAGAAGTAGCTTGCACACATAAAAACATGCACACTGAAGAACTGTGTCATGCAAACGCATTACATTTAATTCAGTGTTCTAGGCTCTGACTGGAAGGCTTAGGTGGATGACAGATAAATGTGTTCAAAGCTGACCATATGAAACAATTGTGTCCACAGGTCACAGATACTAACATCAAGTGATAGTCAATTTTCAGAAATAGTTAATAAGTTTAAAGATGCAAGAAAAAACAGCTGAAATCTCCTCTTCATTAATATTTTCCTTTTCCTGTCATAGCAATTTCATTTACCTCGTTAGACAGATTTATGCAGCTGCTATTTTGCACTTCTACAAGATATTTCTCCTTGAATTCTCAGTTTTACAAAGTGCAACTATATTTTAGAAGGGCTATTTCCTCCATTTAAAACATATCTAAAAGAGATTAACTGGTTTAATACATCCTAACTGTGGCACAATGAGTTCTGCTTTATTTTTCAAAAGCAACACTATCATCTTCAGATGAGACTCAAACATTAAAAATTCAGGAGAATTAGGAATGTTAATGTAGGCAGTGTGTGCCCTCTGACAAAAGCAATCTCAAGTAGTGGACATGCAGATGAATTTCTTTGTGTCCAGGGAAAACTGATACCTTAATAGCTAATCAGGGGCTCTGCATGCTATTTAAAATACGGTATACGGAACAGAAAACAAGCTCACAAAGTAAAGGGTGGGTATGTCACTCTACAGCCTTTTTCTAGCTTTGCCTCACGCACTCAGTATACAGTGGGTATTCCAAAATGCTGCTCTCCAGCTACTTCTGAAACACTCACCATTTCTGATGGCTGCAGTATGAATTCAGTGGCAATGATTTAGATTAATTAGGTAAACATTCAAAGAGTCCCCATGTAGTAATAATTTATGTTTCTGCCTACTGTCCGCTGTCCACCCACTATGCACCTCTCACCTGGAGACTTACAATTCTTCATCTCCCCTTTTACTATTCAATCAGCAATTGCAAGCTACAGTCCTGAAAGGCTGTGCTGAAGATACTGTATCTTCTAATACTTTGAAGTTTGATTTTCAAAACCTGCTGTTTCTAACTTCTTAAAACATACTATAAAGTATCAGTCATTCAAAAATAAATAATTTGCATTATCTTACCTGCTGTTATTCAGCACATTTTCTGTCAGATTCTTGGCAAACAGACCCTTATGAACATCCCTCTCTTGCACAAAAAGGACATAACAAAAGCGTCTTGCAAGCCACCCTCTGTACCTACAAAAATAGAAAGGTAATTGAGTGTGACCTTCAAAATATTTCACTGCCAAGAAAAAGAATATTAAAAACACCTAAAAATACAATTAAGCAAAAGTAAGTAAACTTTTTTAAGAGCTGCCTAAAAGCTTCTGTATCCTCTAGTAAACTGCCAGCATGTTTACGTTACATACAAAATAACTGATGCATAGCACAACGTATGTGAGACATCCAAGGTTTGCATTACTTGAATTCAGGGTTATAGTGGCCTTATAACATCCACAGTATCACAGAAGAATTGCCACGAACCACCATATACATTTTGTCTGTCCACTGGAACCAAGTCCCCAGCTCATCCAGGACAAAAGGAGTAGTGCCAGTTTCTGATCTGGTGACTTTCCACCAGGGAATGTAACTGCCCATCTAAGAGGTTTGTCAACTCCTTCAAGAAACACCAAGTCCCCATGGGAAAGCTGCTCACACTGTATGCACAGGGTAAACTCTCACAGACACTTCTGAAAATATGTTTGCATTAGCCATCCACATTAAAAACACTTTTGGTTTTCTGTAATCTTTTCTTCTTTTCAAGTCTTTTTAAATACCCAGCCCTATGCGCCTTTTACATACCTTCCCCTTGAGAAGTTTTAAGAGGAGTAGAACCTCTAAATAATCGGTAAATCTCTCTACACATTCACGCGTTTAAGTAAGGCAAGTTAGCTTATGCAGCCAGTCTCTCCCTTTTAAATTAACCCTGTCCTCTGCTCTCTGGATCAAATAAGCAGCAGTCACCTGGTAATATGTTACTCCAAGATGGACAAGCCACCAGTCATCCATGTCACTCCACAAATGAGAGCTGGGACCCTCAAAAATCAGAGCTGATATAAGGGGGGAGAATTACCACTTGGAAGAAGAAATTAAATTCTGGCCAATCCTAAGACCTGAGCACTCAGTATGATGCCAAAACCCTGTCCTGAGGGCTGCTGGAGCAACGCATCGCTGTTTCTCCAGCAAGTGTCCCAAACCAAACCGTGGGTGGCAACGCTCAGGCTGGTCTCCACGCTGGAGTGCTGCCAAGGTCTCAGTCCCTGTCATCACCTGAGTTACTGATCTTGGCTGTTAAACCTGTTACCACGTTTCAGTAAATTTATACATGTTTTAAAACCAGCAAGGAAAGATGAGATGGAATGTTTACACTGCAAAAAGCCAAACTACCCGAGTGCACAGGCCACTTGCACTACAATTAAGATGAGTGCAGAGGCAGAAGCTATTGGCCCAGTCTGGCAGTAACAGCTATACAAATACTCAGACTGTCTCGAAGGACAAAGAATTTTGCTCTTCATGCTGTCATGGAAGTAGACTGGAGACTTCGTTTAAATTGCTGTTCCATTTTCCCCTTCTCATCAGAGTTTGAGAGCCTTATTAATATTTCTAAAAAAGAAAATTAAGGATATGCTTCTTTTTGACAACAGTTTTGGTAACTATGAACATATCATCACAACAGCACACAGCTGCTGCAGGGATCTGTCGAGGTATAGACTTCTACATTCATTTTACAGCTTAGATTTTTCTTTTTATACTATGTTGTATCTGTTTTCTAGTCATGTAGCAATGATAGATCACAAAACCCACACAGAATAGATCCAATCAAGACATATTCTAAAACTGACATTCAGACCTCAGAAAAACGCTGTGGTAGTCTCTCAGTACAGGTACAGTATGCTAGCAGTTAAAGAGGATCCCACTTGTTTTCTAAGGCAAAGAAACTGTGACTATGTAACACCATGGGACCTCAGAACTTCATTAAAACTGTCACTTTTCAGACTATAAGGACATTCTGAGCTCAAGGCATTTTATTTCAGAATAATTCATTAACCCATATTTTGTTGCCCTTATATTTCTTATCTAAGTAACCCTGACCATTGAAAATCATTCCAGCATTAGACTTCTGAAACTAATTTTTCTTTAAAGTTAAAATTAAACACTATTTCTGTTATTTTTTTGTATTCTAAACTGCAAGCTCAACTCTTACAAAAAGCATAATTAATTCAAATTAAAGAAAGAACAGCCTCCAACATTAGCTTCCTCCTTCTCAAGCACAGCACAATGCTGCCTTTCTTCCACTCAGACACTTTGGCTCACTTCTTTCATGCTGCTGGCCTCTCTTTGTTTGCTCTGACTCTATGACAAACACTGCAAGACCTGCTTATGCTAATGATTACTGTAAAAAACTTAGCAAGCATTATTAACTTTCCAAAGAACAGAATGAAGATTTTTGCCTACATCCAGTATTTTCATCCCAGAACAGAAGATATATTTGCAGTAGCACCAAGGTACATCATCATTTTTAGATAATATACGCCATCCTTTAGGAGCTGCACTCTGCCACTGAGACAGAGGAGACACAGTCTTGCAAGACATGATCAGTTTTAATTGTTGTTAGTGTTAATAGTCAACACCTAAACTGTAAGCCAGATCTGCTCAGTAAATTAAAATGCAGCCTGAAGTCATTCTTCAGCATGGGAACAACCAGCCCCTTTCAGCATAATGCTACAGATGCTGCCATTTGCCCTAAAAGAGAAAGGATTTAAACAAGCCCTGTTTTTTTGTGAAACAGGTTTGACCCTTACACTCCTTGTCTATGAACCCAAAGGACTTTGCCCAGCTCCCACATACACACAGCTGGATTTAACAAGTACATCACTTTCCTCAAGTCAGCACCAATTCCCACATTTTAGGGCAGTAATATATCTTCACTCAGTATGGACTATCCTTGAGATTCCCCTTGTTGTAAGAACAGAACACACAGAAGTTTAAAAGCAAAAGAAAGACTTGCTACCTTACCTCGTATGTGTTTCATTGATATATATGACATTACGTAGACCCAAAGAAGGAATACTAGAATTGAAGAAGTTATCCTGTAAAACCAAGAAAAAAAAAAAATTGGTGGACTACTTTATTACATAGGAATAGTTGTACCTTTACATTCATCCCAACATTTAAGATAATGCAACATCTTTTCACCTCTATTATAAAAAAAAAAAGTCAAAGTAGAAAAGTGAAGAACTTTCTTGTAAAGTAAACACAATGTTCTGAAATAAAAACAAAATTCAGAAAGTCACTGTTCCCAGCTCCAATACTTCCGAAGTATTCTCTAGGCCTTAATGCATACAGAGATGGTTGCATTGGTCGTATTCTTCAAACTCAAATATTTTAGCATTTTCTGATGTAATATACAACAGGATTTGCCACAATACAAAAGTCATCTTTAAGACGAAACTTATATTAATCCACGTTCAGCATTTGTATAATTATGAACCTTTTGATGCTCAGTCTGTGCCAATTGGTTTGCCAGCAGATCAGGCATCACGTAACAGCAGCCCAAGGGTCAGGATATCCACCCATGATTCAGTGGCAAATTTCCACACTCCTGCTCTGCCAGAGCACCAAACTTAATCCAGCATTCTACACCCCGATACAGACTCGGCATGCCAGGCTATTAACTGTTCTGGATGAGTTAGGAGTGGTTCCACTTCAGATAAAACACTATTCCTTGGCAGGAAGACCTAAACTTTAATCTTCCATATTCCAAGTAAGTACCTTGACTGAGAAGCTAATCTCTTTCTGCCCAAATAATATTTAATTATAAAACTGGTACCATGCCAACTGTGAATTACAGCTAAAAGTAGGACTGTGCACATCACGAAAGACAAAAACAGGACACTGCAGGAGAAATATGGTTACCACCAACAGCACAGCTGCAGAACAGCCTCACTAACAGTTTTGCAGTGAGAGTAAGATAAGAGTCTTATTTGTTTGTATTTTGTTTAGGACACACCTTTTGCCACAAATTTAAATATATGAGTGTCTTATGTCATTGGCAGATCAAGTGAAAATTACGTGCTACAGTTGGAGCACTCAGTCTTTTGTCCCATGTTAAAGCACAACTCCGTAGTACATACAATCAACAAATTGTTGCTCTAGGCTTTTAAGAGAAAAACTCCAGGTAATATTACTTTCTTCTGACTGTTTGCTAGTAATTTTTTGTGGCTCTTAGAGCTATATGAAATGTTCTGGCAAAGAGAAGTGAAATAACTTGTACTTGGTCTCCCAAAAAAAAAATCAGCAACAAAGTACCACCACCGAATGCCATTCCCATGCTCTAACAGTGAAAGTTATAACCTCAGTCTGTGAAATTCATCCTCCAGCTGTAATGAAACACTTCAGCTTTTCCTTATTTAACTTTTTTCTATATCAAACAGAGGATGTGGTTTTGCGAGACCAAGTGAGCTGCCACAGCACCTCCCTGGTACTGTGATGAAGAAGCCCAGTTCCCACCACCACATCCTACCTTTTTCCACTGAACATTTAGCCCCCAAGTCTGAATTTATACCACACCAGACTTCATCACACCCCTTAACAAGCCAACTTCATTCAGGCAAGGCAGAAAACTAAGACAGCCAGACTAAATGAATAAATAAAGCAGATAGTTTTCTGCTTGGTTATTGAACTTGATCAGCCCCCAGGAGAGCAGGAAGGAAACCAAGAGGAAGAAGCAAGACTTCCCACTCCCAGTGTTAGCAAGCTGTTAGTCTGGCCAGCATTTACGGAAGTCTGTATCACTCATCCATCCCTTCTCCTTATACGAATTAACCTAACAGGCAGCTCAACAAACACAGTGAAACAAACATCTGGAGTCTTATGAGAGGACCTGGTTTGTTATTGTCTGCTGCAAGGGTGATATTTTCTCCTTGTGGCAGAAGGCAATGAAGGGCTTTATCAGGTCATGCCCCTTTCTTAAGTGGGATCTCAGGATAATTAATTAGCTTCTCATTAAATGGACAAAATACAGAACAAGATTTTTATTTTTAAAGTGTAATTCCCAACTTGAGAGGAACAGCCTAATTACTAAATGTGTAAAGCCCTAAGCTGAGGATTCCTACACACCTTTTTTCAAGTCAAACACTTCAGTGTCTGTTGGAAGCAGTCTCAGTTTATCTAATTGCTTGTCTTGTTGCCCATATCATATGTAGCCTTCACAGTACATTTGGATTTCTATCCCACAATTTTATGTCATTGTTGCAATTTTCTATTCCAGCATAGGAACAGCGTGAGGTACCTTTTCCTTGGTCAAAGAAACAAGCAAATTTTCACTCTACTCCAGCCAATCGTGGAGCTCAGTGCAGGTGCAACTGCATGCAATTTAAAGCCCAGAGTGTACATATAGTCAAATTACCCCGTGAACTGGTTGCAAAACTGCATTATGCCATTTATCAGCATTTTGCATCTCCGGCTTACAGAAAGTCTGCCCAATGCAGTTCAATAAAGTTCACATTTTAAATCAGCTTGCGCAACCTCTCTAGAGCCACCACCTTGACAACGTTCCAGCAAATATCCTCGCTATCCTAACTGGCACTCCTCATTTACAGGCTGGGCAGAGAAGCCAGAAATCAACCGGGTATAGAAAACCAACCTGTCTTCTCAAGCACAGGACTGATCTCTTCAAGTTTGAAGAGAAGCATACTGCTGACTTTCAAAACTGTACTTATTTCGTGGAGAGAGAACTAAGTGTCCTAAAAGTAAGCCTTAACACTTTCAAATGCACTGAATTCCCATTGGTAAGCTAGCAGATCAGACAATTTTTTATATATGCCTAGTGCTAATCCTGAAGAACTGCAGAATTTTGCACAAGGAATAGGCCTGCAATGAAAATGTGAGACAAAGCATCACAACGGGTCTGTGTCACCCATTAATTCCATGGCAAAGAAAATATAACCACAAACAAAGGTGAAAATCTACATTCCTTTATGAAGTAAGAACTTTGTGACCTTAATTGTGAAAGTAAAAAACTAATGAAACTTCATTACACTGCAGCTATGCATTATTGCCAAGCATAATCCAGTCCATAATCTTCTTACCCGGCTCTGGGGAGTGCATACGTAGCAACATCGTCCCACAAATGGCCTTTTTCTGCTCAGCAGAGTCTCTTTCCATTTTAAAGTAGCAGACCGGAAGAGAGTGGGCCTAGAGTTACACTCTCCCTGCAGAACAAAGACCACTGGGTAAGTATCCAGAAATATGTGTTTTACTGAGTATGTGAAAACTTTGAGTAGGAGGAGTTGCCAGACACAAAAAAAACCCACCCAAAACTCCAACCAAAACCAAAAAGAACCTATACCCCCCAAATTACATAAAATTAACAGAAAGTTTTTTTCAAATATTTTTCTAAAATAAATTATATTTTCTCCAGATGATGTGATTGAAAGCAAAAAAAAAAAAAAAAGCAAAATCACAGTTTCGTACTTGGGTATCTTAAGCACTTTGGCATTTCCTGACACACAAACTTTTAAAATAAATAAAAATTCTAATAAGAAACAGCAAGGAAATTGACAGCCAAGAAAAGTGGAATAAATTAACAGTAAATTACAGTAAGGGTGCTTTTAATACAAGCAATGTATTTTCAGCTTTAACTAGATATCGCCCTGTAAAATTACAAGAAAGCTGAATGCAGGCAAAATACTGACTCTTTTTCAGCAGTTTCATGCAAAGTAATATGAAAATTTAACCTGTGCCTTCTCCAATGTTAAGCTGTCATTCTGATTATTATAGAACCAAAAAATCCAAAGCAACTGTATTCTGTGAATTCCTCTACGATAGGACATAATGAAAATATATTTAACTAGAATTTTTACAAGGACATTGATTGTTGCCATCTAAGTCTACTGAATTGCTACTTGCCTGAGAATAACCACTGGACTGCCACTTTCTGAACTATATATTCTAAGTTTTTAATAAAAGGGAAGTTACAATAACAAATTAATCCAAAACACTGTTTCAATTAGCACATTTAAGTGGAAAAGAAACAGAGTAGAACCAATACTTTCAACACAACTACATCAGGAAAGCCAGTGAGAAAGCATCACAAAGTCAAAAGCAGTGCTGAAAAAACTACAATGTGCATGTATCACATTTGACAAGCAGTATGAATTGGCAGTTATTCCAAGGCCAAGTCTTCCACCTGGAATGAACAAGCATCAAGACACTATCTGACCCAATCCCTTCTGTAACACTTCCCACAATGCTAACTCCAAAATTAACCCACTTTGTAACAATACTGTCTTCCTTGTGCTTGTTCCCAAGCCCTGACTGAACTCATGAACACTTTGGTACAAAATCTCCTTACTCTCTTCTGACTTGCCTGCCTTCATCCCACCCTCTCATCTCTTGGATACAGCAACTTGCTGACCGGTGTAACTTACATCTAGCTAGCTAGAAAACCCAGCTGCCAGGACATCTGTCCTTTCCCTCAACTCTGACCTGCCTCCAACTCTTCTTCTGTATCAAGTTCAAACTCCTCCCTCTCCAGAGACCTGTGTAATTCTTCCTGACCCATGCTTCTAAACAAACCAGTAGTAGCCCAGTCCCCATGGGGCTCTTTTTGCTCCACCCAGCCCACTCTGCTCATTGCCCCATGTCTCCAAATCCCAAGACTCAGTCAACAGAGGACACAGACTTTTAACAGGCTCCTTATTTATACCCACCAATTTTTCTCTGCCTCCTGTACTGCATGAAAAACCCCAGCTACAATGGCTACGCAACTGTACAACTTCAGCTTCACACTCCTTTTCAGTTCTGCACTTCAAACTACGTTCTTCAGATCTGCTTGACCTCAGTCTACTCCAGAATGGGATGCTGCACATTTATTGCTGTGTAAAACGATTAGTAACATCACATCAGAATACTATAAGACTATCAATAGGGTTTGACAGGGTTCTTTTATAGCAACATCAGTCTTCGTGCAGCACTGAACTGTTTGTTCCTCATTACATTTCAAGCTAAATTAAAACCAATCTGTATCATATATGAGAGAGATGATGCCTTATCTACAATCTTCATAATAATTCTTAAAAATTCCACCTCCAATTTGAATTAATAAAAACATAAACGTGGCCAGTAAAATGCACAATTTTTACTTACCCATTCTTCACTGGAATGCTTACATCTACTTATACTGCACTCTGCTGAGGTGGACAGATAGGAAACATCTATTGTTCCAAGGGACAAAGCAGTTTCATCCATGACAAACAAGTTGATCTGAATATCAGAAACTGCAAAATAACATACATATATACATATAGATATACACATATACACACACACACAGAAGCACATATACACATGCATAATCTCAGTGATGGGTATCTAGCAAAGAATTAGCAAACCGATATTTTTGCATCTTTCAGTAAAAATTAGGTGCTGAAGAAGTTTCATTACAGACAGAAGTCGGCATGACTTTAACGTGACAAAAATCCCAGCACGTTCCATTTCCACAAACAAAGCACACCAGTTAGCTACCTGCATGTTTTTCTCTCCCTGCTCTTTCTGTGACAGGTCAGTATAGTCCCTCTATGCTTTCCCACTGTTCCTTCAGTGCATGGTTTAAACCATTCAGCCACAAGGATACGCATTTCACCCACTTCCAAAAGTTGATTATTCTCTTGCACTCCATGACCTCACTCTTTTATCATTGGCTTCTCAAGGACACCTATTTTCTACAAAAAACCTGTCATTAATGCTCTCTCCCAATCCTATTTCTCAGTACACTTTATGTGTTGGATCTAGTTGTAGCCAAACCAGTTTGCAAACCCCTCAGAGGAAGGAGTGCTCTACACAAAAGCACATCCCTAAATCTGAACGTGCTGCTGACCTACGCAACATTACAGGCTTGTGGGATTAAAAAGCAGTGAAGAAGACTAAACTTGCATTATTATTTTAAAACAGAGGGTTTATAATTCACATAATAAGCACAGTAAATAATTCTCCCTTGGCCAAAGAAAAAAGACAGTAGGGCAAACAGATCAGAATGACTTGGTGCTGTACTGTATATCTGCAAAAGACGACGATGAAACTGCTTTGGTACGGAGAGCCACTGAAACAGGGATCCCAGCGTTCTCATCTAGAGAAACTGAAGTTCCATCTGTTACCACAAAGAAACTTACAATACGGCCAAGCCACAAGCCATCAGCAACGATACTGTTCCCAGCCTGTGTGCTAAAATTTGTGAAAGCAAGGCCCAAAACTTCAGTACATTTTGTCTTTCTTACTGTGCTCCCCAGTCTGACACAAAGCTCTCCCGTAACACCCCCATACAAAGCTCCCAATACAAACCGGAGTTGAGCTGGTATATTGACACACGTACTTACTTTTACAGACCCTAAGTACCTAAGTTATAATTTTTTCTTTTGACTCTTACACACAACCTGCTTTTTAATTATTTTTTTTAATTAGTGTTCACGTAAATTAATATGTATACACAATAGAAAAGGGAAAAAAAAGGCTCACAAAAATAAACAGTGAAAGTGAAAAACGTCCTCCTTGTGTTCAAGGTGACCTTGGCTGCACCGGCGTACATAAAAGATTAACTTTAAAAAATCGGTAATGAAAAGCCTGTCTGAGCACCGGCAACCTTCCACGTACCTCTAGCAGAACGCGCCTCCGCCCGTTTTTTCCCCGCCGCCGCGGCGCTCACGCCGTTAACCTGCAGCAGCAGCAGCGCGTCGTCATCCTCCCGGGCTCGGACGGGGCTCGGGGATCCCACGGGATCACAGCACCTCCTATCAATAAAGACGTGGCCGCTGAGCGCGGGTACCGGCCGTAGAGCCGCCCCGGGCGCCGAGGGGGGCGGG